AGATTGACTAACAAATTGACTTAGGCCCCCCACGGTAGGCTATTATGCCCTGAGTGAGTGATTAAAATACCATTGATAGGGCGGGGACTAAACTCACATTGCGAGTAAGAGCCACAAGAAAGTTTAAAACTAACAGGATCCCATATTTTCTGTAAATAAAGGATTAAAATAGCAGCGTTTTTATCGACGTTTTTATTGCAATTATTACCACTTTAAATACACAATTTCAACGAGATATTATTTGACTGAGCATGTGCAAACACCATGGTCTCCCATTTTGCCCTAGAGAAATTTGGTGCGACCGACAGCTTATGATTAGGAATTGTTGGGACATTATTCCAACAGTTCCGTTTCAACAGAATATTATTTCATTTATTTTATAAATGCTGCAGGCCATGTAGCTCCATGTCATTTAGCACACATATCGCCATCTGTCGGCCAATTTAAATTTCGTTAGCGTAACTTCAGCGAGGACTCTCCATCGTTAGATAGAGATGTAGATAAAGATGTAAATAGAGGCAGATATGCAGACAGAGATGTAGATAATAAAGATAGGCATGTAGATAGGGATATAGAGATAATTTATTACATACAAAACTGTATAGCTTTGATCATGCTACTAGTAATAAGCAGCCATTCTAAATAAACAAGGATTAATATGATCAAGCAAGAAGTAGAATTGTGTTGTTGATGAAATAACAAACATTTATTATAAAATTTACATCATTCTCTGCAAGTATCAAGACAAGATGGTCACTTCAAATTAAAACTCACTTCATAACAAGAATGCACAAAGAAAAAATTCTTTTTGAAACAACAAAATTCTTGAATTACCAAAACTTTTCGCATTAGACATCAATCAATAAAATCATCGTAATCAAGCTGTAGACTTGACAAATTAAGTTGTAATTAAATTAGATTGAAGTTTAATGCATGTATATATGCTGTAAGCTAACTGGATTGTCCATATAAAATACAATCGTACAATAGATATTACGCCTCACTAGTCACTACACAGATTAGAATTTCATTCATGAAACTGCAGTAATAACTACTGAATCTTACTATTTACAATTACAAGCCGATGTTAAATGCAGATAATTTCCATGAAAGGGAGTGCAACATATCCTTGCAAGGTGCCCTACCACCCTAGCGCCATCTATCAGGAACACACAAATACAAAGGAGGATTACGAATTTATGACTAACAGCATGCTGGGGTCACACAGAGTTCGTGACGTGCAAAAATACACACGACGCTACCTAGTGGCATAGCGTGAACTAAGGCACCAGATAACTACACCATTTTTGTGATGCAGGACAGATCGACGGAGCAACAGAGCGGAGAAATTGCGATGAGCAAAATAAGGGAGATATATCCAAGAAATACAGGAGAGAGATAGATAGTATAGTCCACAAAACCAAGGTACCAAGGTGGATCAGTTTCTCCCAAAGAAAGAGAGAGATACACACACACAGAGAGAGAGATAGAGAGAGATAGAGATAGAGAGAGATAGAGAGAGAGATAGATAGAGAGATAGAGAGAGAGAGA